CATCCCTGGCCAGGAAAGAGAGGCTCTCAAAGGTCTCCCAAGTATCTAGGACAGGGGCCCTAGGCGAAATATTTGGCTCTGACTCTTGAAAGTCCAGACAGTAGGACTGAGCAAAGAGCAGGCAAAGGAACTTTCTCTTCAATGCCACTCCCCAGCCTAACACCCTTCAGCAATTCCTCTTTACCCACTGCTGATGTCAAAGAGAACTTATTGAGGGGCTGGCTCCACCTTTTCCAACCTCACCATCTGAATCCCTCTACCCTCGACCCATCGCCTCAGCCATTCTCTCAGTTTCCAGACGAGCCAGGCTCTCTCACACACTTCCTGCCTTTTGCAAGGGCTGCTGCCTTTTGCGCACAACATACCCCACACCAAATTCCACCAAACCCATTTAACTAAACTACTTTTCTTGTCATCCTTCCACACTAAAGCTCCCTGCTTTGGGTAGTAGAATCCTGTCTTAGGCATTCCCCCAGTGGCCTGTATTTCCCTTTATCATACTATTGATTACAGTTACACTGTCAGCAACCTGAAGGCAGGACTGTGTCTTCCAGTTATAATGTCATGGTTTAGCACAATGCCTGGAACCACAAATAGAGTTTGTAAGTATTAACTAAAGGAATAAATGAATAACCAATGAGAGACTATCAGATAGGATATAACATTGCAAAGTATATAATGTTTTAACAGTTCTTTTTCTTTTCTCTTCTTTTAATTATTCTTTCCTTTAATTCATTGTAATTATCAAACTTTTAACGGCTGTCATTGCCAGCCCCCAGTACAATCTAGAAAAAAAAAGCTTTCCCCAGATTTGTAGGGAATAATGGTTGATAGTTACTTCCATGTCATGATAAATTTAATATTCACATATTGTAACACAGAGGTTTTGTAACAGCAGGCTCCTCTGACTCAAGAATTACACAAAAACTCTAAATGAGTCCCAGAACTAAGAGCAAAGGATTGTCTCCTGTTCTGTCCACATACTCCCTCTAGTGTCAATAACTCCAAGTAAGCTAAGGAAGGAGATGGAGTCCCTGGGTCCCTTGCTGTCTTTCAATGCCTCATTCACCTGGTTTAAAAAATACATTGGGATTTCTTGGGGCAGCCGGTTAGCTCAGGTGGTTAGAGAGCAGGCTCATAACACCAAGGTTGCCGGTTTGATCCCTGCATGGGCCGCGGAGCTGCGCCCTCAACAACTAGACTGAAAACAACTATTGTATTTCCCCATGTATAAGATGCACCCTTTTTCGAAAAATTTGGGGTCTAAAAACTGAGTGCGTCTTATACAGTGGTTGTAGATTTCAAATGCCATAGATGGAACTGAGGACGAGGCAATAGATGAAGACAGTGATTCGTCATCAGACACAGATGAGG